CTGTCTTCCTGTCTGTCTTCCTGTTTGCCTGTCTGTCTGTCTGTCTGCCTGTCTGTCTTCCTGTCGTTCAGTTAAATATAAAACGGTGATGATTGTTTCTGACTTGTTATAAAAAGCTGAAACAGTTCATAATAACCACAGAATTTCTGCCCTGAGAGCTGAACAACAGCTGAAGTTTGCTGAAGAAACAGAAATTGAGTTGTTAAAGCTAAAAGTGTCAAAAGGCTAGATGAAAGCTAAAAGTAGCTAAAACTAAAAGTTGTGGACATATTGCCAAAAACTAAAAGTAGCAACACACTGGCTAAAAGTGGCAAAGGACTAGCATCAAGTAACACAAAGCTAGCTAAAAACTAAAAGTAGCAGAAGGCTAGCTAAAAGCAACAAAATGTTAGCTAAAAGCTTAAACTAGCAAAAAAGGCTGACCGAACATGAACTAAAAGTTATAAGTATCAAAAGGCAACCCCAAAATTAAAAGTAGCAAAAGGATGGCTTGGAGGCAAGCTAAAAATCACAAAAGATCAGCAGAGCTAAAGTAACCATTGGGTAGCTGAAAGCAACAAGAGATTTGCTAAAAGCTAATATAGCAAAATGGTAGCTTAAAAAAATGGCAAGCTAGCTGAATTCTAAATTTAGCTAATTCTAAAATAATAAAATTATCAAAAGGCTGACTAAAGATAGTCAAACAATAACTAAAAGTCAAAAGTAGCAGAAGACGCTAAAAGCTAAATGTAGTAAAATAATAGCTAAAGTTAAACATAGTCTATGGATAGAAGTAGCAGACAAGTAGCTAAAAGCTAAAAGTAGCAGAAATCAAGCCAAAAACTAAAAGTAGTAATACACTAGTTAAAAGCAGGTGAAAAAAAAGCTAGCTAAAAACTAAAAGTAGCAAAAGGCTAGCTAAAGCAACAAATGTTTGCTAAAAGCTAAAAATAGCAAAAGGCTGATAAAATAGCATTCAGGAACTAAAAGGCATAAGTATCAAAAGGAAACCCAAATTTAAAAGTAGCAAAAGGATGGCTTGAAGTAATAAAAGGCTAGCTAAAAATGACAAACGATCAGCTAAAAGCTAAATTAGCAATTTGGTAGCTGAAAGCTACAACATATTTGCTAAAATCTAATATAGCAAAAGGGTAGCTACAAAGGTAACATGTTAATAGCTAGTTGAATTTTATATGTAGCAAAAAGCTCCTAAAAACTTAAATGATCAAAAGGCTAACTAAAAACAGTAGAACGGTAACTAAAAATTAAAAGTAGCAGAAGTCTAGCTAGCTAAAAACTAGAAGTAGTAAAATAGTAGCTTACGTTAAACATAGCAAAAGGGCTACAGAATAGTTAGAAATAGCAGACAAGTAGCTAAAAGTAGCAAAATGCTAGCTAAAAACTAAAAGTATCAAAAGGCTGCAACAAATGTTTGCTGAAAGCTAAAAGTAGTCAAATCTAGGCGAACACAAAAGATTAGCTTAAATTAAAGTAGCAATAGGATAGCTAAAACTATATGCTGCATAAGGCTAGCTGAATTTTAAAAAATAGCAGAAGGCTGCTAAAAAATGAAATTAGCAAAAGGCTAGCCAAACGTAGCCTAATATTGGGTAAAAGTAGCATAAGAAGACAAAAACGATGTTTATTAAAGACAGCAAAGTTTCTGAAATAACTAAAGATACTGTATATGTAAAAAAAGTTAAATAATTTAAAAAGTATAAATATACAAGAAACTAAAGCTATAACACCCATCTCCTGAGTGAGCTGAATGTTTTTTGCAGAAGTAGTAAGATTTAAAATAAAAATGTATGGAAATAAAATAAAAAATAAACCCAGGGAAACAGTCATGTGAATGTATATCAGCACTTCTAAAGTTGGGTTCAACATTTGTTCCATCCACAGCTCTCTTTAGTTCACTGGTCCAAGTTCTGAATCTTAAACCATACTTGTGGAAAATAATACAACCTTCTGATACCTCAGCTGTTGGATGAAAGCTCAGATTTGGCTCATTGATCTCTTGAATCTGTGAAGGTTCAAAGTGAAACTTCTGTTTATTTTGCTGGGACTCCCTGTAGAACCAGTGCCCCCCTCTCCCCCAGCAGACACTGCTGCATTCTCCACTTTTAAAGCTACTGATCTCCAGCAGCTCCTCTTCTTTATTCCACAACTGTGCCCACATGTGGAGCATTTAATGAACAGCATACTTTGTTACCATCTGTATCTAGTGCACTGGAAATGATGCAGAAAAGCTCAACTGCACTAGACACTCCGCTGAGGGAAGATCTACCGCTCTGAGCAGCATGGTAATCATAAAACCCTCCACCCTCTGCATCTTTTTCAGCTCCTTTGAGTCAGCTTCATGTCCATGCGTTCTGCATAACCCAGCTTTGGCGTTGACTAATGCTTGAATTGCTACAGACTTCTCTGCACTTCTATCCAAAAGCAGCCTTTATGCTTCCAGTTACAGTAACGGACTGTGTGCCACTGATTCATGCAGGCGGGGAAGCTCTAATATAAAAGTTAGCTGTGTGGTTAAGTGGACAGAGTTTCCATTCATGGGTCTGCTTTGAAAACACTTTAACCTTTAATAAAACCTGGAAACGTTTCCTCGCTGAATATGCACCAAGTTGTGTGCATCTTTTCCACATTGGGTCACCAGTAAGCCATTGGAAGGCTCTTCCATTTTTCCCCCTAAAGATTTATTCCAGTTCTGTTTCCGCTCATGCGACCAGCGCAACCCCCGAGCTTTGTCTCAGACGTTCCCTATAGAGATTACGTAAGGTCTCGTATCTCCAGGTTGCTTCGTCGTAATGACTTCAACAGTTGCCCAGCCATCTGTTCATGAGCAGCTGACATGAGAATGCTGCGGTACTTTTAAGTGATTCACCAGATTAGAGCTATTTTTTTTGTCTTTACCGCTGAGACTCGAGTCGGGACAGGATGTTAAAAATCCAAGACAAGCTCTTTGTTCTTCTGTCCTGCTTTCACTTGAGGTCCTCTGGCCACATACCCCTCATGTCATATGAGCAAACATGGCAGCAGTAACTTACCAAGAAGTCAAAATCAGCAGCTTTTAGCCTCAGCCTGCCTAAAGTGTAGGACACACTTCTGTTTATAACTAATGTCCTGACTGAGCAAATCACCTAACCAAAATTAAAACCCGTCGGCAACTAAAAATAAATCTCGTGCACTGCAGTCTCCGGGTCACGATGTGTTCAAGGGAACATATTCTTCACCCCTGTCTGGATCCTTTATTGTATCTGAATGTGTGTGTGGCGAGCTCCGCCGCCTGTTTGCATCTGAGTCAGCGTAAGTAAAGATGCGTCTGGTTAAAAATAGCAGATTCAACAGGACAATGAATCACACTGGGACACGTGTGGCCAGGCACCTACTAATTTAAGCCTTCAGTCGCTCATTAACACCCGATCTGTCATTCATTACCTCTGAGCTTCATGTGTGTCGATCCTGCAGCTTCTAATCCTGAAATGAATTTAAAACCACGCCCCACAGACATCGGATTTGTTCATGTGATCTGTAAATGAAGTGTTATGTTGCTTCTTGTAGCCCCAAAAGTTACTTTAAGGCCTGGCATTCCTTGAACACATCACCTGCTCTTTCATGCCAGAGTTACTGATCACACATTAAGATATACTGAAGGTGTTAAAATAACATTATGCAAGATCTCACTTAATATAGAACCATGCATGATTTCTATTAACACTTGGAGCATGTGTTGTGGATGAGTCTCAGCTACTACCACACCAACTTTTACCTCGATATCTGTAAAATTGACTGAGATATAGCCACTTTTGTGTTTCTTGTGGTCTGTAGCCTATGGTATGGTGGCCATCTTAAATTGGGTTGAATCCAAAAGTTAATCAGTTTTATATATATATATATATATATATATATATATATATATA